CGGACGCCACCGATGTCAAGGTGAAGGCGCAGTAGGCCCGAAGACGGACTGTGGGTTCTGTCGCCGTGGCTATACCCTGGGGTTCCCGTGTGCTAGTGTGCTTTAGCTTTAGGGCACTGAGCCACCGCATGGGCCATCGTGGGTGTGGCAGCGGGGCTCCATGTGGACGTTGGCACAATGCTTCCGGCGAAGGCGGGAGGCGTGAGTTGCGTGCCGCTGGTGCATTGTTGTACCGATGTCTTGGTGACGTCGCTGTCCTTGTACTGTCTTCTGTTCATAGTGTACTATAGCCGCCGCCGAGGTTCTAATGTCATCGACTGTTGCCTCTGTTTCGAACTCTGTTGTCTCCGCGGATGCTTTCACGAAGGGCAGTGCAATAACATTAGACACTCTCCACCTGCGCCTCGCCCCCCCTGCCTCGCCCCCCTCCGCTCTCGCCCGCATTCTTCTCGTTCGCGCGAGCACGTTCTAGCCACGCGGGCGCGACGCCGCGTCCCCGCCGTCTTGTCCCCCTCCGGCGTGTCCCATCCTCCCCCCTGCTGACCACATTCTCAATACCCAATATGTGCCGAGGACGTCCTCATGGCTCGGAGCCCTCATTACGGGGCCGCGACGGGCTACCCCGCTATGACTTGCCAGTGCCGCTGTGCAGTATATCGTGTACGTACTTTGAAGTGGAACGAAGGCGTCATTCGACTTCTACTTGATTAACGGATACATAGTGCTAAACATCACAAATGCTCGTAAGCAAGACACACCCATCCGAGAGCCGGCAGGGGGCATGCCCGTCCGGCAACTGAGATGATGAGGCACATCGGCGTGCTTTCGGGGATGACGGCTCCATATATCTCGAAGACTGAGATGAGGTTCGGAAGTGGATCTATGTACAGAAAGCGACAGAGGCTCACCGGTCTCTCACCGGTTCAAGAACTTGTTGCCGTCCCGGTCGCAGTGGAAGACAGTGCCGGCGTGCTCGGTCATCTCCGTGAACCCGTGGATCACCGCACGCCGGTTGACTTCCGGATCTTCGTTGGGGTTGAGAAGATGGATGAGGAGATCCCTTGACACCCCATCGATTGTCGCAAAGAATACCTCGGCGTCTTCGTTACCCACAGAGGTAGAGCTGCGGCGCCCAAGGTCCACCTCCGGACAACCGTCACGTGGGGGAGTATTGATGATTTGAGGGATGCCGAGGGCGCCATCGCCCACCACAGCGAAGAAGGCGGCGGGGAGCTTCACGCAGTGCATGGCCCGGCTTTCCTCGGCAAAGTCGGTCAGCCGGGACACCGCCATTTGCCGAAGGTACCGTTCACCCGGGCTCGGCCGGACTCACCCGGTTACCTCGGCAGAGTCGTCCGGCCGGAATCGCCCGGTTTTCCCAGGGGAGTCGTCCGGCCGGACCCACCCGGTTTTCGCGGAGGAGCCGTCCACCCGGACCAGGTCGAAGTGAGCCCGGCGCTGCATGCAGAAAACACGTCGTCCGGCTTCTGGAAGGACTAGATTGGGCCATCTGGTTATATAAAGGAGTTTGTGGTCTCTGGGCAGCACACACAGGGCTGGGGCATGTTACAGTGCAGAACTTCTTGGTCGCCCGGTTCCGGATGAACTCACCAGGAAGGGGAAAATCGGATATCTATTGGGACATAATAGAGTGTAATGAGACCCGATTAGTGTCATTAGTCGAAGCCCCTATATTAGTCTAATCTAATGAGCTAGCTCATGATCCCCCGACGGCTAGCAGGGCATGATTAGTGGCGAATAAGAAGGCATAATATTGACTTGCTTGGATATCGATGGAGGCCGATAAACCGGTTTGTTCGCGCATTCTGCGAGCACTCGGCACGCATCGGAGAGTACACTGATCGATGTTGAAAAAGGTAGTAGGAGAAACATGGCGATCATCTTGAGATTATGGCTCAACGCCACCCCGCGGCCGAAGGCAGCTCGACACAGGGAGGAGAAACGAACGATGGGGTTACGAGGAACACCGCGGTGGGCGCACCTTGAGGGACGAGGTGGCCGGCACGGAGGAAGAGGACGTAGGCCCAGCCGCGCTCCTGGTGGACGACGCTGGCAAGCGCGCCGCTGCCATCGTACAAGGGCGTGGACGGCCATCGGGTGAAGCCTTGCTTGCCTCCGAAGGTCGTGTGCTGCGAACATGCGTGGTCGTCAGCCCGCGAAGTTCGCAGTGAGGTGGCATTCGCACCTCTCACATGTCCACCTTCTGTCAGTAGCCACTTCCAGTCTCCGCTGCCTGAGGCAGCGGTACCACTGAAGAACGCCGAGCCGTTGCGAGGGAACTCGGGGTTGAGCCCATCCTCGATCGAAGACCCTGGCTACATACATCGAAACCGTGTTCTAAATATGCATATTCAACCGACACGCCAGCGCGCGCACACCGCATATACCTGGCAATCGACAAGTTGGGCGCATACTCGATCATCTCGTGTCACACGTACAAGTTCCGCGCGCTTCACCCTCGTCTTCACGTTCGCCCAAGCGTACTTCCGGGGGGGTGGGTCTCCAGTCCGGACTTGAAGAACTTGTGCCGTGAGCCATGGAGCCCTGACGTGCGCGAGACATACTTGGACGTGCGCGCAGCTGGGGCATTTGGATTGTGGGTAGGTTGACGTTGAGCCCTCAGAGGTGTAACAGAATTCATACGTGCTGGGGTTATAGTTGATTAGCTGGGTAGGTCTGGATGGCTTACACAAGCTAGTTGCATGGACGAAAGAGGACAGGACGGGAGTTGTAGCAAACGACAGTGTGTGGAGGACGCGACCGATGGTTGAAAATGAAAGAAAGACGGCAGAAGAAGATCGAGTGAACGTACATGGCATATTAAGTCCATTCCCAACACCCGCGCGAGTGTGCACCCCTTCAGCCTCTTGTGTAAAGCATCTTGCAATGGTGGAGGTTGTCCAATAATGAGTATGGGAGGTCAAGCTGTCAAGGGGAGAAGTCGAAGCCTGAAGGTGATGTGCTGGCGTCCGGCTCAGCGGCCGACGCGTGGGAAATTGAAGGCTGCGCCTTCTATAAGTACACAATCTATTCGGGCGTTTGAGTTGGACGAGCGAAGCGAGATGGATCGCGTCGCCGCTGCTCTCTTGGGGGACCTCGGTGAGAGCGCTGCGTCGGCACGCCCCGACGGTAAGGACGCGGACGTGCGCTCTCGGCGACGTGAACGCTGTTATGAACATGGGCTTAGCGCGCTCAAGGTAAGAAGAGTCCTATGAAACCTCCTTCCCGGCAGTCTATCCGCGGTTTACGAGATCGCAGGCGAGCAGCCTTGAGGGCACGGCTCGGTGACCGCTGATCGCACCGACTAGCTCGGCGGACGATAAACAGTGCAGGCGAAGACGACAAACACGCAAGAGACGGGCACGAGAACAATACGGAACGGGACCGAGACCTCGGACAAGACGATGATTGTAGCGGTAAAGGGTGTATCTGAATAGAACCGAGGTGCTCTAATATATACAAAGTGGAACGTGATCGGTGCCAAGGCACACGAGAGGGAGAACAAAGGAATTGAGTCAGAAAGAATCCCTGCGCGAGCCTTGAAGAAATCGCGAGGTCGGTGTTGCGTAGCGCTGGGACGGAGCGCCGGCCCGTCCCACGACAGCTCTCGAAGACAGGGAACGCGACGCGGCGCTCCCGGCCCGAGACCGAGCTCAATCCAGCGGAGGCGAATCTAATTAATACAGAAGACGGAGCAGTTGTAAGACGTAGTACAGAAGAAGGGGTGGCGGAAGGGTGAGGCGGGAATGAGGAAGTAGTCGACCTGTCGAGCGGCAAACGAGCGCGTGGTAGAGAGACAGGGTGAGGAACTAAGACACGAGAACTGAGGTCGTATATACGCAGAAGAGAGACGAGTTGTAGAAGGGAGCTTGTGGCAAACAAACCGTGGTCGACCAAGTTAGTGGGAGGAGCGGCCGAAGCTTGAGAGACGCGCGCAGGCTGAGGCCAAGCAACTCGCGCGCCGCCATATTTAGACCTCGGTCAACAACCCGACCGCAGCCGCAGCGCGCACGGCCGTTGAACAACGGCCCGAAGCTCTCTGCCCCGCACCGACGGTGATTGGAAAGGGATCGCGCTCACGCGGCGCCCGAACCATCCGTCGCGATCCTCGCGCATTGCGTTTCGGGGCCGACGGACGCAGCAGAAACCCCAGCCAAGCGGATTTGTACGCCCCGGCATCCTCGCCGCGCACTCTGATATGAATTAACAGCGCTAAAGAAGCCCCCTCCGTGGCCCGTGCAGCTATTCCGCCGTCTGAGGGCGGTCGGCTCGTTTTACGACCTCATGGGATTCATCGGCCTGGGCGCGCGTCAGGCTTTGTCGGCGGCGCCAAAATTGCGCGGGGCTCACCGTTTTCGGGCGCCTATCAGATGCGGGCGCCTCCGATTCATCAACGCCCTCAGAATTGAAGCAACTTGCAGGCTGAAGAACGTCTTCTCTGCGATCGATTTTGAAGCGAGGTTGCAATGCAAAATTGCCGTCCAGGAGACCGAGCAGGATTCTAGGCATGGAGGGCGGGTTACTTTGCCAGGAGGACGGGTGCGGGCCGCGCTGCCGATGGCCCGTTCTGCGGCGGCGCCGGCTCCTATTTATACGCAGTTCGGATTATGTAAGAGCGATGGAATGCCCGCCGCCACCGCCGCGGGGCCGGGCGTGCCAAGATTCGGTCCGGCCGTCCGATCGGCGTATATGGCACAGCTCCGATCCGATGTTCCTGACGAATACGGCGGGTTTTCGGCGGATTTCGGGCCGCCCCGGTCCGACTCCCGGCGCCTGCGGGGGCCGAAGTGAGCCGATGCATCGGTCTCCGTCCGGAATTCCTGAGCAAAGGATAGAGAAACCACCGTGTCATAACGGCAAGCAGAGCAACACATATATACATGACGGCGGCGCGGTGAACGAGTGTGATACACAAGAAGGCGTCCAATCTAACGCGTTAAATTTCGTCACCGTCCTCATCTTCCGCCCTCTAGAGGAGCTCATCGTCTTGATCCCCCACCGTCTTCATACAGCTCTCCATCACCGTCCTCGTTGTTTTCATACACTGCAACCCATCCGGCAGCGGGTGTCTCAGCGCCCGAGCGAGCCGCCTCCGGTCGCGGAAAGAACCGACGAATTGCGTCGTACCCGTTGAATCCTTGCAGCCGATCCAACTCCGCGTACACCGCGTCGTCCCAGTGCAATCCAGAGAGGACGTTGTCTACCGCAAACGCCGACGCGATCAGCAGCTCACAGACGACGTTCCACTGATCAAGCGCAAGGCGGAGGCTCCGCAAAGTTCGCGTATCAGGGACGACGGGCCCCGGGGTCGCGCCCGCCGACGGCGAGGAGGGAATGGGAATAGAAGAATCACTGCTGGTGGACGCGACGCTGGTCTCCTCCAACTCGAGCTTTTGCGTCTTCAGTGCAGTTGGCTCCGGGGATGGACTCCTATCCCGCTTGCTCGACGATCTAGGCCTGAAGCACGGGCGTATGCGGCGGGACGGAGTGTCGCTGTCGTTGATTCCGTATCTGGGCAAGCCGTCGCCAAGCTTCAAAAACTCCTGTTCCCTGCACCCGCCGTATGTCTTCGAATGACCCTGTATAAAAAGTGCTCGGGCCGCCACCTTCCGCGCGTGCTCGCGGCTGAACTTGAACTGCAGCGGGATGACATCGAAGGGGCATTCGACCGAAGGGCCCTGGCAGCGCTTCCAGTCGCCTTTTCGCAGGTGCGTGATGGTAAAGTCGACGACACCCTCCGCGACCGCCCGACCGGAGTCCTTCATGTCTTTGACCAGCCAGAAAGAGCGGCCGTCGAAGAACGCGACCGGGCCCACGCCGTTCACTGGTCAAGCCGAGTCCTCAGTGCTCCGCCCCTTTGCACGGATGTCGTTCAAATGCTCACCTCGTATAATGCCATCTACACCCACCCCATACAACGTGCAGACAGCGGCGCGGGCGTCGCAGGCGACGCAAGGCGTTCCGGATCCCGTGCAACCCACGGGCTCGGCAGATTCAAAGCATCGGTCGCACTAGACGGTACAGGCCGCCGGGTCACGTCAGCAAGGTGAAAATTTCTATTAGGTCGGCGAGGCGTACTTCGACAAGAAATGTGATGCTGGGCTTCCGCATCTGATATTTTATGGTTGCTTGGTTAACGTTCGTAGAGCTGACTTCAAGAGACATGACCGAAAAAGCGACGGCAGATGGTGGGAGGCAAGCGAGGCGGTCCCTGAATATCGACGGAGATGGTGTGATCTTTCGGTCGTGCGGGTGCAAACGCCGCAAGGTTCGGTCTCACGCCGAACCTCCGGTTCTTCATGGTCGCCGGTCCGAAATTCTGAAGCGGCAGGAAGGACGCCGCTTCAGAAAGAGCTCATATTTTCAAACGTCCGAGGTTCTGGCACGACGCGGCGGAGAACGTACCCGATGCCTATCGCTGGGCGCCCTATTGAAGAGCGATACATGAGAGTAAAAAAATAGAACCGGCCGGTATTCCTCGGCTGTCTTCGGCGCGCAGAACCGGGCCGTCCGACGCGTCTTGCGTCCCCGCCGGACCGACGGACATCCGACCGGCCCCTGAGACCCATTCCGTGGCCGTCAGAGCGCCGTATCTGAAGCACCGGCGTCTTGCCTCAAGGCTCAAGCTCTCAAGATCTCAAGACCGGCAGCGGCCGGGTCGCAGGCAACCGGCTCTCGGATTCCTCGCACTGCGGGCGCGGGCCCTATTTCCCACGTGACGATAGACTTGTCAGTGCAGAGGCGGTCTGCTTGTAACGCTAGGAAATATTGATGCAATATTCTACCTGTCACACAACTGTCACATGAGGCGAGAGTGGAGAGACAGTCAAGGGATAGTCATGTGCAAGGTAACCTATCCCTGGGTGCGACAGCGATGTGAAAGGCAAACAAAATGCTAACTGTCACATTTTGCAATGGACAGGTGTTGCTCAGGACAAAGGAAACCTTCCGCATGGCTGCGACAAGTCTATCGTCATGTGGGAAATGGGGCCCGTGCCCGCAGTGTCGGGAGCTCGTCGGCGGTCGGGTCGTCCGGGGAGCCGGCGCCTGCGAAGATTTGGGCTCCCCGGGCGGGCCGCCGTGTATGCCGGCCCGACAAATCGCCCATTGAATACCGACTCAGACGCCGGTGATTCTGGCGGCCGCCGGGTTGATCCCTTTCAGGGAACTATTTGTGAGCATCGCCGATTCTATCTGATCCTAATGCAAGGATCCCAAAAAGATCCCCGTCCTCTCCCTTCAAAGACCCCAACCATCTACGTTCTC